GCCACCTCACCAGCTCCTTGGCCCTGCTTGGGGCCAGGTCACTCAGTGGGACACCCCCCCGGGGGGGACGGCATTCGGCTGTCCCCATGCAGTGTGCCCCGACGTGTGCCGCATCAGGGGGGAGCACTCCCTGCCTGGCTCAGAGGCTCCGCGGGGCCGTCCTTATGGCATGGCACAGGACTGTGCTGGTCACCCTGGGCTGTGGTCCATTTCCCGTGAACAAGAGAGGCTTTGCCTGCCATGCTGCTCTGCCCCGGAAATTCGGCACAGCCCACGCTCGTCCCCGTGTCTGCAGGACGTGGGGTTTTTTCACACTGTCGCTCCACGTGCTCTTCTTGTCAGAGCCCTCAAGACGCTGCATTGCCATAGAAACTGAGCTCGTTAAAATTCCCTGCAGCCTCCTAATTATAGAATTTCAAAGACAAGCAAAGAGCTTCTTCCAAGGGTTGGAGTTGAGGCTGAGAGGAGGGGGAGAGTAGCCCACGCTCCCTGGGCACCGCTGGGAGCTGGCCGGGCTTCTCCATGATTCCCAATCCAGGGCACGGGGAAGGTCCCCTGGCAGGCACACTCTGACCTCGGGGCCCGGCCTTGACCGCGCAGCTGAGACAGAACCTCGGACCCGCCAGGACCCTGGGGCCCCGACTCTCCCATGGAGGCCTTTCCTGCGCACCCGACGTGTGTGGGGGACCCTCTTCTGCGGGCACCGAGAGCAGCGGGGATGAGGCGGACACGCAGTGGGAGCACAGGGCCAGCGTCATTCCCAGAGCACCCGCCTGTCCGCACACGCATGTTCTCTGAGGACACGTGCTCTTTCTTCCTTTTTACACTGCGGCTGTCACTTCAGATCAGGGATAGGGGCTGTGACTTTCCAGGCAGAAACCCAGAATTTGCAAATGTGTCAGTTGTCTGAGCCAGTGGCCCACGAGGCTGATTGCCCTGGCCTGGGAGGGCAGGGGATGGCCGAGCCCCCGCCGAGCTCAGGGCCTCAGGAAGGCAGAGCAGGCATCATCCAGCTGCATCCAGCCCTGCACTTGGGGAACCTTCTAGTAAACAGTCCGAGGTTTGAAAGTTTTGGTGGTTTTGGTGGCTGCCATGGTGGGAATGTGGGTTTTTCAGGAAAGGTGCTCAGTTGATTCAGAAGTTAAGGAGGTGAGGGGCACCTGGGTGGCTCAGTTGGTGAAGCATCTTCCTTTGGCTCGGGTCATGATCTCAGGGTCCTGGGATCGAGTCCCGCATCGGGCTCCCTGCTCAGTGGGGAGTCTGCTTCTCCCTCTACCTCTTCCCCTGCTCATGCTCTCGCTTGCTCTCTCTCAAATAAATAAGTGAGTAAATAAATAAATAAAATCTTAAAAAAAAAATTAGGGCGGTAGTAATCCCAGTGCAGTCTTGAGAGAAACAGCAAGCAAACCCCAGGAGAGGGCCATTTGACACAGCGTCTGACCCGCACTCCATGCCAGCAAGGTCGTCAAACCAGGGACAGCTGGGAAGCTGCACTACCCAAAGGGGCCTGAGCAGACAGGGGTGAAATACCATTTGGGATTCTGGGTGGCACCTGGGTCAGAACGAATACATCGGGGAGCAGCTAAGGAAATCTGAATAGAGTATGTGCCCGAGTTAACAACGTCGTGTCAGTACTGCTTCATGAGCCGTAACAAATGTGCCACACGCTTGTAAGACGTCAGCCAGAGAGGACACCAGGTGGGCGCTCTGTGGGGTCCCATCCTCTCTCTGCAGTTTTCCCCTAAGTCTGGAACTGTTCTCAACCGTGAAGTATATTAAAAAGGCCGTTGAGGGGGAAGCCGGCTCCAGCTGGAGTTTAGGTGACAGCCCTGGTGTTCATCTCTGTCTTGATGAATACGTCAGAGGGAAGTCAGGTGTTAACGGGAGGGGAAGCTGTGGGCAGGTTACGTGGGAACCCTCTGGTCTGCCTTTGAACTTTCTGCAAATCCAAAATAAATAAATTGCGTGTATATGTGTGTTTTTTATCAGTGAGGGATGTTCCGCTGTCCCTTGTGGTTCTTTATAACTCACCTGACCGCTGCTTTCCAGGTAGTGGCCTGGGCGTGGATCGGACACCCCAGGGGCTCCCCTGCCTTTGCCTGGGGTGGTGCCAAGGACGTGGCACCTTGCCGGGATCTGCAATGCCAGGGGCTCTGAAAACGCCTTCCTGTCTCTGCATAGGGTGGGGGTGATGGTAAATACCATCTTAAAGGCCTCGTGTGAGTCAGGGGTCGCCAGAAAAACAGAACCAATAGGATGTGTGCATAGAGACAAGGACCTCTGTTTTAAGGAACTGGCCCGTGCAATTAGGGAGGTGGGCAAATCCAAAATCTGTAGGATCGGTGGGCAGGCTGGAGACCCAAGAAAAGCCTAAGATTCAGTTCAAGTCCAAAGTCTGGCTGCTGCAGAATTCCCTCTTGCTCAGGGGATGCCCATCTTTTGTTCTAGTCAGGCCTTCGACTGATTGGATGAGGCCCACCTATGTCAGGGAGGCCAGTCTGCCTCATTCAAATTCCACTGATTTAGATGTCAGTCTCATCCAGAAACACCCTTGGGGCGCCTGAGTGGCTCGGTTGGTTAAGCGTCTGGGTCTTGATCTCAGGCTTGTGAGTTCAAGCCTTGCATTGGGCTCCACTCTGGGTGTGGAGAGGACTTAACAAACAAACAAACAAACAAAAACAAACAAAAAAACCAAACACCCTCATGGGAACATCCAGAAAAACATTTGGCTGCATATCTGGGTGCCGTGGCCCGGCCCAGCTGACACCCAGAATGCACCACCCTTGCCCAGAGGCACACATTTCCTGAAGCCATACTCAATCTCCAGTTAACCAGCAGCAAGTTCATACTTCTGCCTCCCGTGAACCTGCAGGCGGGCAGGCAGTGGCAGGGGGCGTGGGCCGCCCCGGGCAGGACCACAGCAGGGGACAGGGCCTTTCTTTGCCTACTTAGAGCTTTGTTTCATCTTTTAAATTGGAGACACTTTATTTAAAATAAAAATTCAGCACCCGTTCCTGGCCCCTGTGCCCCCGCCAAAAAAAGTTTCAAATGAGTCCTTAAAGAAAAAACGAGATGGAATTATTTGAAGATGAGTCAGAGGGAAATACCTGAAATTACTTTGTAGCCATCCTGTTGTTAGTACCGCCAGCCCCTCCGTTTTTACAGTTTTGCCTGTTTAGGGTTTAGTGTGGGCTGAGGCACCTGCGGGCGTGTGGCTCGGGCACCTACAGAAGGCACAGCGCAGTGGGCACGTGTGGCCGTAGCAGCTGGGCAGGACAGAGCTCAGCCAGCACTCAGCCGCCCAGGGGCTGCCTCCCAGAGGCCACACCGTCCCGAACTTAGCATTGGTCTTCCACTTACTAGAACAACTTCATCTCATGACTGTGTGTCCTGAAACGATTCGTTAGCCCCCCTCTAGTGCTCTGAGCCTGTGGGGGCTGCATGCAGCCCTTGGTCCTATCCCCTCAGTGAGTTTGCCTGCCTGCTGTGCACCCCCTCATAACCCTTGGCCTCTGCTGGGGCATCTTTGTGTTTCTTATTTCGGGCGACTTTAGTCAAATTTGAAGGATACCTAGTCGGGCGTATTTGTGGATTTCCGTGTGGTGCATGCGCTGGGCACAAGAAAACCAGAGTGTTGGCTCTAGGCCGGCTCAGCTCCCTCTGCGTCTCTGTGTCCCTCCGTCTGTCTGTCACTCAGTGCCTTCTCTCTGCAGGACAGCTGGGGGTTGTGAATGCCACATACAGGGAGGGTCGGGGGGCATGCGTGGGGACATGGGGACGGTCAGTCCTGTGGACGTCAGCATGGACCCGCCCCCGGCCAGACTTCCCCCGAGTCAAGCCAGGTCGGCTGGACGGGCTGGAAGTGGCGGGACACACCCTGTCAATCTGGGCAGAGGCCCTGGGCATCACCAGGGACTCCTCAGAGCTGAGGGGCCGATGGACCCCAGGCCTGCAGCCCAGGTGTGAACTTGCAGGTGGGGGAGCAGGAGGGTGAAGGCAGGTGCCACCTCCCACTGGCTCTGCTCCCGTCTAGGTGTTGGCTGAGAGTCTGTGGCAGGACACGTTTGAGGGGTCCTGGGCGATGCGTGGGCCTCTGCCAAACCCCCAGCTGCCCACCGGCTGTGGGGCTCCTGCCACAGAGGAATCTGGATGTCTTGTTTCTGACTCAGTCTCCCATTTAAAGGGAGAGAAGCAGGCTCTCTGGTGGCTGTGACCCGATTTCAGCACGAGCTGGTAATTTGCTTGTTTTGAAAACATTTTGTTGGTTTCCACATTGGTGTATGTTCGTGGCACTTCCACGACTCATGAAAGTGGCTTTCACTGCGGAACTTTATGAAAGCACAAAGCTTCCTGTTGTACCCTGAGTATTTTGTACCAGCGTTCACTTCAGAGTGTTTGGAAGGAGCAAAGTTACGATCATTTTTAGGGACGGATGAAACCAGCAGTTCTAGTTCAACATGTAACTCCAGCGTTTTTGATTAGCGGTGTCCTTCTTACAAGTTTGGATTATTGAATGCGGTTTTTCGTAAGCAACGTGTTTGCTAACCCTCGACTCAGCATAAGTGCTTGTTGTGTCTGCCTCACCTCTGCCCCAAGATCTGTCAGGTGGCTGGGGTGGGGCGGGGGGACACTGGGCGGGGGTCTCTCATGTCCGGGTGGGCAGGACGCCTGGCTGCATTTCGGGTGGACCGTGGACTCCATGTGTCGGCTGCTGCCCCTCCATGGACGGTGAGGCAGGAGCGCACAGCCTGTGTGCACCGCACCCCAGTGTGGAAAAGGCCTGGTTTCCGTGCCTGGAGGGAAGGAGGGTGGAAAGGAAAACAGGGAGGCAGGCTTGGAAACTCATTGGCCTCCGATGACGTTCCAGCCAGACCCTCACGGGGGCTGCCCAGCTGCTGTCCTCCCTGCCAGGGTGGCTGTCCCCAAGGCACCTCAGGGGGGGGGGTGGGGTTCGAGGCCACTGGGCTGTTTCCTTACCCCTGTCTCCCGTCCCACCCTAGAATCCATCTACCGCCGCGGAGCCAGAAGATGGAGGAAGCTGTATCGCGCCAACGGCCATCTCTTCCAGGCCAAGCGCTTTAACAGGGTGAGTGCCACCGCCTCAGCGCCCAGCTCCCAGGCTGTCTCCGCCTGCCCTGCCCTCACCAGCCAAGGGAGAGGTGGAGACACTTCCCGCTGAGAGTGGGACAGGCCTCAGAGGCCGACAAGCCTGGTCCTGAAGCACTGGGCCTTTTCTGCACGTGGTGGCCGCCTGGCAAATGTGGTGTGTGCGTCTCTGTGTCTCTCTGTTGGCCCGGGTCAGGCCGCCCTTGCCGGGGGCACGGGGGCTCTGAGGTCCTGGCCTGCTTGTGGTCAGAAGTGGGTCTGAGAATTTGACCGATGACGCTGGGGTGCATGTTGTGCGTCTCCTCTGAGCCCCGGCACCCCGACAGCCCCGTGTCTGACACCCATGTGGCTCCCAGCCCATCCTTTCCATCCGTTCTCTTCAGAATGCTCTTCTGTTCTCTAGAAATGATACGATACGATTCAGGTGGCTTTGTGATGGTCCCACTTCACAGTGGAAAGGGTGGTACCTACAGGTGCCTCGCTGGCCAAGGACTTTCGTGTCCTGGGGCTTAAAGCAGAAACTCATTCTCTCCCAGTTCCGGAGCCGGAGGTCCAAAACCAAGGTGTGTGCAGGGCTGTGCTCCTTTGGTGGCTCTAGAGGAGGATCCTTCCTGCTCTTTGTAGCCCCTGGGGGCTGCCGGCGGTCCTTGGCTTGTAGCTGCAGCAACCCCATGTCTGCTGTGTCCTCACATGGCCTCTGCTCTCTCCCAAGGACACCGGGCATGGTTATGGCCCGCCCAATCCAGTACGACTTCATTTTGACGGTACATCTACAAAAAGTTTTTTTCCAAATGAGGTCACATTTGGAGGTTCTAAGGGGACATGAATTCGGGAGACACCATTCAACCTACTCCCACAGCCCAGCACATGCGCACCTGAGGGCCTTTGCACATGCTGAGACTCTGCCCTGCCCACCCTCCCCCCTCCTCTGCATGCTCAGAGCTCATGCTGTGCCTTACTCCGTCTTGGCTCAGACAATCATCCCTGCAGCCCTTTCTCTGCGGCCCCCATTCCCATGTGCAGCTGATGTTCCTCACAGGTCTATGTCTGCTCTCTCCCACCAGGCATAGTGCTCTGGGCATAGGGACTCTGAACACAGATTTGTTGTATTATAACTAATGACTGGAAGAAAGTCAGCCAGGGGAGACCTAGGGGCGCTGTGTTAGGGACCAAGAAAGAATGGAGCATGTCTGTCAGGAATGAGAAGGAACCCAGGTGGGTAGCAGGAGAACAGGGGGTCCAAGGAATATCGGATGCCTCGGGGAGCTCAGGCATCACCAAGCAAGAAGGTATGAGAGGACCCTGATGCCAAGTGCTGCTGGAGGGTGAGGACTGAGGGGGGAATGCGTGGATGATAGACCTTTGTTCCATCTCTGGGTGGACTGATGGGGTGTGGATGGGAGATGCCGTGGTGAGCCAACCAGATAGGATGAACCCTGGCTGCTGACAGCGTGAAGAGATGGAAATGTCCCAACCCCCAGGATGCGAGGCACCTGCCGCCCCCACCCTGTGTTTATTTTTCCAGCCAGCTGCGTGGCCAGGTGGCTTCTCTTTCTGCACATCTGGGCACTGGCTTGGAGACCCCAGATGGGACTGGCCAGCCTTCGGGATATCAGACAGAAGGTTCTGGGAGGCCCCCCCCCCCATGTTGACTTTCAGGGAAATGCTGTTTCCTTCATTACCACACACTCACTGGTCCAAGATGAAGCCCACCCACCCAGCAAGACAGGCCGGGGCCCGGGCAGCACAGAGGGACCTGGCTTCTCCCACTCTGCAGATTTTAGGAGAAAAACCCATTTCCCTGATTGCAAGGTGCAGACCGTCACCCTCTCCCTCTGCCTGCCCTTCCTGCCCCCCGCTCCCGAATCAGTGAGAAAAGGCTTTTCCTCCCTGTGGAGGAGTGGGGGACTCTCAGGGGTGCCCCTGCCACCCCATTCAGCTGTCCCCAGACCACCAAAAGTAGGTTTTCACAAACACGGGGGGGGCTGGGAAGGGGGCCAAAGACCCTCGACTCTTAGACTGTTCAGTTCACAGAACGAGGAGCCTGCAACGTGTTGCCAAGTTTGATTTCCCACCTGATTCTCCTTGGTTCCAAGTCCTGCGTCTTGCCGGGACCCTGGAGGCTGGGTCTGCACCATTCACTGTGTTAATCACAGGATTGTGCGGGTCACCTCCACCTGTCACTTGAAAGGATGTTTTAAGAGCTACACACTTGGTTCTGCAGGAATCAGCAAGACTTACAGGGCAAGAGCCCACAAGAGATCATTTCTCATGTTCTTCATCGGTGACCCGGGCAGAAAGTGAGTGGGTGTCAGTCATATGGCTGAGTCTCCCCACCAGGATCTTTATTTGTCCTTGACACGACTTTTCTTCTAGAACAGTGAGAAAAAGTTCCACTGGTGAATCAAAGGGAGAGATCCAGCAAGTTTCTGGAGAAGAAGTGAAGACCTCCACCCTAGAAAAGGAGACACCAGTGCCATGGATGGGGTGGGGCATGAAGGCAAGGTCAGAGCCTGGCCCTGGGAACCCCAGGGCATGAGCATTTCCCGTAAATGCTGGTCGAGGGTTTCTCCCAAGTTTTTTGGCCCAAGCAACTAGGACAGAGTTAGCAAGCAATTCACGTCAGGGCCAAAGAGTAAATATCTTAGACTTCGTGCACCACCAGGGCTCTGCTGCAACTGCCAACCCCATTGTAATGTAAAAGCAGCCACAGACAGGGGTAAGGGGGTGAACAGATGAGCGAGGCCGAGTTCCAATAAAACTTTATTTATAAAAAACATGGCCGCATTTGGCCCACAGCTGTAGTTTGCCTGCTCCTGGAGTAGAAGATTGGAGTCAGCACTTGCTGAATGGATCAAGGCCTCAAGAGGAGCACGTTTTGGGCCCAGCATGAGACCCCCTCCCCACCCTGCACTAGCATGAAAGCAGGATTCCGAAGATGCAGGAGGGAGGGATGAGGCTACCCCTCCCGCCCCAGGAAGAGCAATAGCTTCTTATACCTTGTAGGAAGAGGCAGGAACGCATGGAGAATCTGCAGCCTCAAGCTGCACCTCCCACACGCTTGCAGCCCCTATGGGCAGCCTAATGGGCCAGCCCAGGAGGGCTCCCCAGGAGCCAGCAGAGGTGCAGCTCCTCGACAGCCCAGCCTCAGAGGACCCCACGGTTGAACCAATAGGACACCTGAGCTCACAGTCAGGAAGCACAAAGCACAGTGGAAACAGGGCACCCGAGCAAGAACCCACAGAAACCCAGACCAAAGGCTTAGACGGAAAAGAGTTCAGGGTGACTGAAAAGTAGAATGTGTGATTGAAAATACGAGCCAGGAACCAAGTCAGCAGTGTGTAAGGAGGCTTAAAAATATTTTCACTCCATTAATTTATTCATTCAGGTGAATTTCAGAGTATTGAAGCTTGGGGTTTAGGTTTTGTTTTTTAGTGTCATGTTTCCTGAAGTGTTAACAGTTCAAACAGAGGTCTGAGATAAAGAGCCCCTGGCAGCCTGTCCTGAGCGGCGTGGGCATGTGGGTCTCACGTCCCTTCCATGTCCCTGGTGTGGAGCCCGGGGAGAGCGTGCTGCTCTCCGTCAGCAGCTGGCCTACCAGCCCCTGCTTATCTTTGGGAAGGAATCTGTGAATTTGTGAAGCCACCGAGTGGCCGATGGAAGAAGCATTGCAGATTAGTTGTGCAACGTGACCGTGGGAAAGCTAACCACGTTAGCATATTATATAAGAAAGGTGAATTGTTCTTAATGGCTTCGCAAATGGTTTGACGCAGCCGGACACACCCAAGAGAATGAAAACTGGTCTTCATACCCAAAGCTCTTCTTTGACTTCCGAAGTTAGGCGTTCAGCGGTTGCCCTACTTGGGCAATGCTGGTACGAAACGAGGGCGGCCAGAGCTGGAGGCGCTGTCAGGGTCCCCTGCGGCCGCCCCCCCCCCCCCCCCCCCCCCCCCCCAGCCCCGCCCCGTCCAGCCCTCACTGCCTTGCGCTGCACTTCAGCCCATTCCCTCACGGCCCCACAATTTGCGTTTGGCTGCTCGTGGGAGGGATGCTTTAGGCAATACAGACGACTTGGAATAAATGCTTTTCTGTCCTGTTTCCAAAGTTAAAAGTAATGGGTGTGTATGTGTGTTTGCTTGACCTTAGCGAACATGTATTGGGCACCGACTGTGTGCTGGGCACAGCCCCGGGCATTGGCCGCAGAGCTGTGACCAGGACCTGAAGCTGTGTGTGTGGGGACCGGCTCCCTCGGGCCCTGGTTTCCCCGCTCGGCGCTTCGCTGATGAGAAGTCGGCTTCTCGGGGCCTGTGGCTGTGAGCTCCGGGCACACGGTCTGTCCACACCGCCACACCCCACACCCACACGCCGAGAGGATTCCATCAGGCATAAATGAACTCTGCTCAGTACAATTGTAGTCCTTTTTATTTTTCTTCAGGAATAATGAGAGGCTTTTTCAAAAGAACAAAATTTGTTAAACATGCATATGAGTAACAGCTAGAGAAAAGATGATCACGGGAACCCGGTGCCACTCACGTGCACCTCCTGCCACATGTGAACAGATTTCTGAACACATTCATCTTCCTGCACTTTGTAACAGTTAAAAATTAGGGAAACATCACCGAACAAACTCATAGTTAGCATTAGCTTCAGATGTTTAGAACCTTGAAGAACAAAGATTGACTACTTGAAAATCTTTAAAAATACAAAAAACAAAACAAAACACCCAAGATAATCGCAGACTGCCCCTAGCAGTTCAAAGTTATGACACGTCAGAATGCCAGGTAGAGTCCCTGTCTCCATGGTCGTCCAGAGGCAAATCCGGACGTCTCTCATGCCTGTCTCAGCCTGGGTCTGCACACAGCCCAGCAGGAGCTGTGATCCCCCTCCGGCCCCTGCAAGCAGGGGTGGGTCCTTGCCCGAGGAGGGGTCTCATCACCCCTGCCAGAGCGGGGTCCCAGCCCCCTCCTTGGGGCCCTTGGTTCCCGCAGCCTGGGGATGGACCCCAGTGGGCGCCTGGGCTTGGGCAGAGCCCTGTGTCCACATGTGACCAGCGGATTGGGCCACCTCTTGTCCTAGCTCCCTGTCATTTTCTGAGAAAATCAGGGAAGATGCCGCATGCCCCGGCGCTGAGCTGGGTCCCTAGTGTAGCGTGGCTTCAGGGGACACCCCAGCCCTCGGCCTGACGGCTGCTTTTCTTGCCTGCAGAGAGCGTACTGTGGCCAGTGCAGTGAAAGGATATGGGGTCTCGCAAGGCAGGGCTACCGGTGCATCAACTGCAAGCTGCTGGTCCATAAACGCTGCCACGTGCTCGTCCCGCTGACCTGCAAAAGGCATATGGTGAGTGTGGGCCAGATAGGGCCCTGGGGGCCCGTGAGTTGGGGTAGCCTCAAGCTCATTGTCCACACTGACCCTGGTGACCCTCAGGCTCCCTCCGTCCAAATGGGATCCTGCCACCAATGAGACAAAAGGAGGGGGTGCCTATGGGTTGCAGAGCCATGACCCCGGCCAGCACCCCAGGTGGGGCCCCTCTTCCCACGCCCTGTGAGCCCCCAGCACTCTTCGGGCGGGCGGCCTCTAGTGGGGCCTCTAGGGCCCTCTCCCACCCTGGGACGAAGATACAGGAGCAAGGGGAGGCTCATCTGTACCCCAGGCATGAAGTAGCTCTAAGGAGCCACAGAGGGAAAGCCCATGCCGCCCTGAAAGTCGGAGGATGCACCCCGCATGTGCCCCTCAGCCTGCGACTGTGGACGTAAAGCACCCTGGCCCTTTGACGTGTTGTTCATTTCCGTCCTGAGCATTCAGGCTTGGTAGTGCTCGTGGGACCCCTGAGCAGGAGCCTGAACTGGACGTTGAGTTCCTCCTGGGCCTCTGGCAGGCACGTCTGGGCGGGTTGGCTCATCTGATGTCTAACCCTGATTGAGCACTGGGAAGTGGGGTCCCTACACGGACTGGTGTGGGGGAAATGCACACGGTCTTCCTAAAGTCCTTCCAGCCGTGGCTGCCAAGAACCGAAAGGGTGCACATACCCTTTGACCCCATAGGTCCACGTTAGCCTGAGAAATAAGGCCAGCCCCAAAGATGTATCAGTCAGGGGCTGAGGGATGCCAACGCCTGGAGCTTAATGTCGGCCAATAGGGGGCTGCCTCAGCTGTGACATCAGCCCCCAGGACTCTGTGATGTGGCCGTGGGGGTGGGGGAGACTACTAAGCATTATGTACAAAGGCCCCATTTTTTAAAGCACCTGCTGGAAAGGTCACAGCCTGAGGTGCTGAGTGGTCTTCCGCAGGAGATGTCCGTGTGGGTCTTCCTGTCTCCAGTGTGGTAAGGTTAGCAGGTGATTTGTGGAATATGTATTAGGACACAGGTTACAATGTGTATATCACAGGAGGTGGTAATAGAAAGTCACACAGTGTCTCCAGAAGCTACATTGTAAAGCCTGCCTGGTCACTTTATAATGCCCGTCTCTTTGCAGGATTCTGTCATGCCTTCCCAAGAACCTGCAGTAGATGACAAGGACGACGTGGACCTTCCTTCTGAGGACACCGATGGAAGTAGGGGCTGCTTTCTTCCTGCTGGTGGAGCCCAGGCTCTCCACCCTGGAATTCCTGTGTGCCTCCCCTTTCTGAGCACGAATCCTTTCTAGTTCCCATCTGCTCTCTGAGGGTCAATATTGGCAAGCATGTGCCCCTCACTGCGGGACTGGGGACGTCTCTAGGGCCTTCCATCATCCCTGGGCAGAGATGGCAGAGTGGGGTGGCCTTCCCTGGGCACACACATCTCTGAGAGTGGCTGCCATAGGAGTCCAGGTGGGCGTTTTCCCTCGGCACCGACTTTGGGAGTTCTAGAAGATACTGTGGCGGCTACCATAGGCAGGCCCTCCCACGGGTGGGCTGCTGCATAGGCTGGTCTCCATGGAAAAGCCTGCTGTCAAGTTGGTTCTTAGGTTTCTGTGGGATTTTGTGGGGTTTTTTTTGGTGGAGGAGAGACATTTTTTTTTTAATGCTCAGAAGCATTTGGAGAAAGATTTTGAATACTAGTTGGACCGATAGCCCGGCTCTGAGCTCCCAAAGTCTGTGCACTGTTAAGAGCATGGTAAATGTGAGTTCTGTGCCCTGAGAGTGCTTGAAGGATGAAATGAGACCACAGAACATAAAGCATTTAGCACAAAACCTCATACAAAGGAGATTTCTAATAAACAACAATGGCGCACACCCACCACACACCCACCCAACTACTACCCATCCACCATCCACTTATCCATCCACCCATCCATCCATCCTTCCATCCATCCATCCTCTCTTCCACCCACCTGCATACTCTAAAAACAACATCTGGAAGGCTAGATACGAAACTCTTGTGAATACTTACTTCTAGATGAATCGCTGAAAAAACCTGTCACAAATGCAGGTTCCCAAGCTCTACCCCCAGAGGTGCAGAGTCAGGAGGCCTGGGTGGGACCAAGAAGCTACATTTTCTTAGGGCTCTGCAGTTAGGTGTGGCCGCTCCGTGATTTGCCCTCAGTGTGGCTGGCCTGGCGTGGGCCGCTGGTGTCCGCAGAGGAGTGAGGGGCCGTGGGAGCCCCTGTGTCTCAGGCTGCGTTCCTGACAATGCCTGCAATGTCCTGTTGCTTTCTTTCTCTCTTCACTAGTTGCTTACATTTCTTCAACCCGGAAACATGACAACATTAAAGATGATTCTGAGGTGAGTGTATAAAATGGCTCATTAGTGTTTCCAGTTTCTTTTTGGAAGTTCATTAGCTCATTTCTGGGGCAGTTATGGAAATTTAAATATGAACTAGACAGGCTTGGGAATTGTTGCTCACTGTGAGGGCATGGTCTGTGGACCTCTCAGGTGATGCACACTGAGGGGTTCAGGGCAGAGTGCCATGGAGTCTCCAGTATTCAGCACACAAGGAATCTCCGGATTGTTAGGTGGACAGAGAGCAAGCGGGTGCGGCCGACACAAGCCAGTGCTAACTCTCAGACGTGAGGATGTGGTGGTGGTGTACTATTCTCACAGCTCTGCAGAACTGGGAGAACTTGGCCAGGTGAGCCCAAGTGGCAGGCCTGGTCCGAGCCTGGGTCAGGCTCAGAATCCTCTTCGGTCAAGTTGGATAATGACCACAGCTTTTTGTGAGGGTGAACTGAGAGCATTTGTATGAACCCCTACCCCATGGCTGGCACACGGGAAGCTTCCCACAACACCGGTCGTCAGTGTGGCTCCTCCCATTTCAGTACAGGGTGGCTTGGGCCCCCACAGTGGGCTGCAAGGAGCACACGGAGACCCCAGGCTCATGTGCTTCGAGAAAAGGTGGGAAGGCTGGTCCCTGGAGAGTGGGATCACTTCGTACTCTTGCACAGCTGCCATTGTCTGCAGGGATCCACGTGGAGGAATCACCCTGAACCAGACTTGTCCTTTGTCCTGTTTTGGACAAGTTTATGGCTGGGTGGGCCAACGTCAGAGGTAGATTGATAGATGCTCACCACATTCGGTAGTAACTTGATTCTCCCCACTCCCAAGGTACAAATGCTTACATTTTCTGCAACTATCTTCTGTCTCCTGTCACAGGACAAGTGTTCCCATCCCTGGGATATTGGTACCTCATGAAGCAACAGGATGTTGGCACCCATGGGCATGGCCCACATGGGGCACGGGGCCCTCCTGCTTTGGTGGGTGGGCTGTGCAGTATGGTGAAGTTGGTCTGTTGGGGGGCAGAGAGGAGAGGGCGTGCACCAGCCCAGGACCTGGCTCCAGAAACATGGGCTGCTGCCGTGGCACAGCTCACTCTTGTCTGGGGCACATCCTTTATGACTCTTCCAGAGGCTGCCATCCCAGAGACTCTTTAGGGTCCAGGTGTGGCACTGTATCTGCTGTGGGTTCAGTTCCCGAGCACCCTCTCTGCCCAAATGGCAGAGTGGGTCCAGGGCTGGCTCTTGAGCTGCAATTTTTGTCAAATTTTATTTTCATAAAACCCTTTATTTGTCTGTTGTACTTTTTCCACATCACTAAGCAGTTCTCCGATTCTTGGAGGACACTGACCAGGTGTCCCACAATTTCGCTCAATTCTGACCCCATCTACCTGGAGCTAGCATCAGACCCCAAGGGCTTAGGCCCACAAGACTGCCCCCCGTCAGAGGCCACTTGCAGGCTAGGTGGTCCCCTGTGCTTCTGACCAACCAGCTATAAATCAGGTTCCCATGACCCTTTCCGCGGGTTCCATTAATTTGCTTGAGCAGCTCACAGAACTCAAGAGAAACATTTTACTTAATAGATTACTAGCTTATGATAAAAGGCTGTATGTAGTTCAGGAACAGCCCGAAGGAAGCGCTGCATGAGGTCAGGGATGGGGGAAGGATACGGAGCTTCCATGCCCTGTCCAGGCACACCGCCACGTGTCCACCAACCAGAAGCCCTCCAGACCCCGTCCTTTGGGGTTTGTTTGGAGACTTCATTACAGAGCCATGATTGATTAAGTCATTGGCCGTCGGAGAATGCACTCAATCCCCGACCCCTCTCCCATCCCCGGAGGTCAGGGGAGAGACTGAGTTCCAAGCTTCTAATCACCTGCTTGGTCCCACCTTTAGGTGGCCTGGGGCTTCTCAAAAGTTGTCTCATTAACATAACATCTGCATCTGGGATGAGTCAGGAGCACTTAGGTACCTCCTGCCTCCACCACAGATACCCTTGCCAGAAATAATTCGTAGGAGGGAAGCTCCTGTTCTTAATCGGATCACCTTTCTCTTTCGTTCTTGGAGCCCCAGCGCGGGGCTGTGGCCGGGCTTTGCAGACACCAGCTAGTTAGGCGTTGTAGCCCCCAGGAAAGCGCTGGTGAGGGAGCCTGTCCTGGGAGCCGGCCCCGGGCTGTGAGGGGGGCGTCTGGGGTGGTCGTGGAGTCAGAGCCTGTGAGCAGAATTGCTCGCAGGGACTTAACCTCCGCAGGGAGTCTTTCCTTTCTCACTTCTCTCTTGTCCTCAGGACCTCAAGCCGGTTATCGATGGGATGGACGGAATCAAAATATCTCAGGGGCTCGGGCTGCAGGACTTCGACCTAATCAGGGTCATCGGGCGTGGGAGCTACGCCAAGGTCCTCCTGGTGCGGCTGAAGAAGAATGATCAGATGTACGCCATGAAGGTGGTGAAGAAGGACCTGGTCCACGATGACGAGGTGAGCGTGGACGCCGGCTCGCGCTCCACTTGGGGTCTTCATCCTGGCTCCCATGCTTCTTTCCTGCCATGGAAGTAAAACGCACATAACAAAATTCACCATTTTAACCATTTTAAAGTATACGTTCATGTGGCGTTTGGTGCAGTCACGATGTGGCACTGCGTCCCCGCCGTCTCATGCCAAGACACGGTCATCCCCCCCCAGAAGGAAACCCTGTGTCCGTGAGTGCCCACCCCCCACGGCCTGCGCCTGGCACCGCTCATCTGCCTTCTGTCTCTGGACTTAGCTTTCCTCGACATTTCCTGTAGAGGGAATCACACTGTGTGGCCCTTGGTGTCTGGCTTCTTGCAATGAGCATCATGTTCCGAGGTTCCTCCACATAGTACGCCTATCAGAACTTCACTGCCCTTTTTTTTTTTTTTTTTAAGATTTTTGTTTGAGATAGAGAGCACGTGTGCATGAGCAGGGGGAGGAGCAGAGGGAGAGGGAGAAGCAGGCTCCCCGCTGAGCAGGGAACCCAGTGCAGGACTCAATCCCAGGGCCCTAGGATCATGACCTGAGCCGAAGGCAGGTGCATAACTGACTGAGCCACCCAGGCTTCCCAGAACTTCATTGCTTTTTATGCCTGAATAATAATCCATTTTATGAGTAGACCACATTTGGTTCATCTCTTGATAGAGATTGGGGTTGCGCTCACCTTTTGGTGACTGTGAGCTGTGCCGTGGTGAATGTTCACGTGTGGGTATTTGTTCAAGTCCCTGTTTCTGGTTCTTGAGGGATTTGCCTAGGAGTGGAGTTGCTGGGTCGTAGAGTTATTCACGCTGACCTATTTGAGGAACCACCGAACCATGCCGGGCAGGTACACCGTTTCACGTTCCCGCCAGCAGCGTGTGAGGGTCCCAGTTTTGCACACCCTTTCCAGGGCTCGCCATTTTCTGGTTTGTGATTGTCGTGACCCTGGTGGGTGAGAAGTGGCACCTCATTGGGTTTGATCCGCATTTCCATAACGACTAGTGATGTTGAGCATCTCTCTGGGCTTCTTGGCTTCATGTACTTCTGGTCTTTTTCTTTCACAGTTGAACGCAGACTCCGTGTCTTAGAAGCAGAGGAAGCACTGACGCATAGGCAGCAATAATGCTGTTGGGCCCCGTAGTACAAGGCAACCTGGTGTCCGTGGGCCCAGCAGACCACAGGAGGGCTCCCCAGCCCTGGCCCAGGCTCATGGTTTGGAGCAAGTAGCTGGGGCTAACCTAGAACTTTTACTTGCCCTACCAGCAGGGTGCATTTGTGCGAGCACAGACTGCCCAGCTGGCCCCTGAGTGCCGAGCTCATGAGTGAGTGGTGCTGCCCACACCTCACAGCTGAGGAGACTAAGGCTCGGGAGGCAGTGGCTTGCTCACATCTTCACGGCTCGTCAGCAGTGCAGCAGGGTGACTCCAGACCCCCTTACTGGAGCCCCGGCCAGCTGGAAAGTTAGTGGGGTGTCTGAGGTCAAGTTTGTAGAACTGAAAGAAAAGGCATTCAGGACACACTCACTGCTTTGGTTCATTCTTGGCATCTTCAGATTGTCCCCTGTGGGCCAAGATGTGGAGGTGGGACTTTTAGGTGATCTCTTGAGAAAAATGTGATTCTAGGAGTCAGTGAGTAGAAGCTGTGTGTGTGCGTGTGTGTGTGTGTGTCCCCATGTCTCCATGTATCATGTGCATGTCTTTGTGCATCTGTGAGAGACCCTGGTGTCTGGGCCGTGGACGTTAGGCCGTAGGGGCACGGCAGTGGGCTGGATGGTGGCCTGCAAAAAGTTATGTCCACATCCTAACCCCTGGAACCTGTGAGTCTGAACTTATTTGGAAATGGGGTCCTTGCAGATGTAATTAAGTTAGGATCTTGGGGAGATCATCCTGGATTATGTAGGTGGGCCGTGAGTCCAATGAGAGGTGTCCTTTTAGAGAAAGGCAGAGAGGAGTTGAGATAGAAGGAAGCAGAGACACACAGGGAAACCCCAGTGTGTAGAGGGAGGCACAGACTTGACTTTGCAGCTTTCCCCAAATTCCAGCGTGGATTGGGAGGGAGACAGCCCTGTGATAGGAGCTGGTGCTCTAGAGATGGGCATGGGACACTGGGGAATCTGCTTAAGCATCCATCCTGTTTCCTTATGTCTTAAGTGGAGATGAAACCCAGCCTCCCAAGGCTGTCACGGGGAGCACATGAGGCAGTGCTTGGAGAGCCTGTAGCTCAGAGGCCAGCACACAGCTGGTGATGGGGGTAGAGATGGTGACAGATGATGGTGATGGTGATGATAATGGTGATGGTGGTGATGATGATGGTAGTGATGATGGTGATAATGATGGTGACGAAGATGGTGATGGTGATGATGGTGATAGTGGTGATGATGGTGGTGATGATGATGATGGTGATGATGATGGTGATGGTGGTGATGATGATGATAGTGGTGGTGATGGTGATGATGATGGTGGTGGTGATGATGGTGGTGGTGATGGTGGTGATAGTGATGGTGGTGATGATGATGATGGTGATGGTGATGGTGGTGATGATGGTGATGGTGATGGTGGTGATAGTGATGGTGGTGATGATGATGATGGTGATGATGATGGTGGTGATGGTGATGATGGTAGTGATGATGGTGGTAGTGGTGATGATAGTGGTGGTGATGGTGATGATGATGGTGGTGGTGATGGTGGTGGTGATGGTGATGATGGTGGTGATAGTGATGGTGGTGATGATGATGGTGGTGATGGTGATGATGCTGGTAGTGATGATGGTGATGATGGTGGTGATGATGGTGATAGTGGTGATGATGATGGTGGTGGTGATGGTGGCGGTGATGGTGATGAACATGACAGTGAGGATGGTAGTGGAGATGAGGATGGTGGTGGTGATCTGTTTCTTAATGGACATTTTCCTTTCCTGTCTGCACTATCTACTTACAAGTAGAGGTGAGAGACATTTCTCTCTTTCCTCCCCTTCTCAAGGATGAAGAGTATTCGGGAGCCTCATTAACATGACCTGGTTTCTATTTCAGGATATTGACTGGGTACAGACAGAGAAGCATGTGTTTGAGCAGGCATCCAGCAACCCTTTCCTGGTCGGCTTACACTCCTGCTTCCAGACAACAAGTCGGTAAGAAAAAAGAGCGTATTTTTAAGATTCTGCTGATTTCTGAATTGAACTGTATGGCGGCTGAGTAGGCATGAGGTTTTCACCATCGTATTAGGGTTCTCTCCATTGCAAGTATGGGTTTGTTTGTTTGGTTTGGTTTGGTTCATCAAACTAACTTTGTTGTTCTCATCAGCTGGTATCTTGTACTAAGTAAATTTTGTGGATTTGAACCTAAATTATTTAATTGCATTTATAAAATATTTATTGAAAACATCCTACTGAGTATAGGAGTAGAGGCACTGGGTTAGGTGTTGGGATGCCATAGTGGGCAGGAGGTGGGTTTCTGTGCTCATGGATATTACCAATAAGTGGAATAAATTAAAAAATACCAGCCACTGTACTTAATAAAACTTTATATTGGAATCCTACTGTTTCAAAAGGCTTGAAAACCACTGGTCTAGGATAGTCATTATATACTCTGTTTAGAATTCTTTTCAGCTCGCTGACTTGAACTCACCCAGTTTGTTTATTTGAAAAAATACCGACTATATTCTGAGTCAGGGTCTTCAAGACCACCCCCAGGTTCAGTGATTTAGCAGAACTCAACAGGACCAGCACATAGTAGGACTCAAGGCTAAGATTTCTTGCCATGAGAGGGTATAAAGCAGAACTGGCAAAGGGAAGAGGCTCATGGGGTGGAGTTGAGAGGAAAGCAGGTGGGAGCTTCCAAGAGTTGGAGTCACACAGACCACAACCGGCCGGCAAGGAATTGTGACCGTTGGCGGTTTTACTGGGGGCTGGCACGTGACAGAATATTCCAGACTCCCAGAAGGAAAACGGGTGTTCAGCATAAACCATATTGTGTACGCACAGCAGACCACTCTTAAGATTCAGGGGAGGTTTTTATCGGTGGAGGGAGCTGTCTACCAGTCAAGTTCCCAGACTCCAGCCAAGGGCCACCTTGCAAGCAGGCCTTTCTGAGGACAACAGTCTCGGTCCGGCTCGTGGTAACTCAGCTCAGCTGTAAATCAGACTGGTGACTGGTACGTCCCCACGAACACGTGCGCCCTCACCTCCCTCCTGACCTTCAGTCCCTTGACCCACCTGACTTGGCTGCCACCTGTGCGTGCAAAGCAGCTGTGGGACAAATGGACTTTCCTCCCGATCTGTAGTTGTCTCCTCCCTGGATCTCACTGATACCGCCTCCTAAACGTGTCTCAGATTCTCCCTTCTCCCCTGCCTGAACCCTGACCACAGCCTCTTTGGGGCATCTGGTCCCTGGGGCTCCCCAGGCTGTCAGTTCCCCCATGTTGGAGTTGAGCCATATTTTGAAAACACAAATCTAAAATGTCTTTCTCCTGCTTCGAAGCTCCTCTGATTACTTACCCAATTGCTTCTGGGATGCAGTCCAGGCCCCTGGGCCTGTGGCTGAGGTTGCTGCGACCAACTCCATCCTGGGTCCCTTCACTCTGTCCATCTTTGTCACGCCGCCAGGTGGGCCCTGCCCTCCCCCACCCCTCCTGCTTCAGAGCTTCTGGAAAGGTCCTGTGGTTGTGTTCCATGCATTCTGCCCGTGCGTCTGTGCAGCTCTGACCAGGGTCTCGGGGAATTCTGGAATATGCCCGAGGGCAGTCGGCCCATCCCAACCCCACACTTCCTGAATGGTGAGATTCCAGAAGACTTTGTTTTGTGGTTGATGGTTGATTTTACTATATGAACTCGTCAGGGTGTGGGTGTAAAAGGGTCAGACTTTCAACGTCACTCATGTCTCTGTTGCCCAGAGCATAGCACTTTCTGTCCCCGGAGATGGTCTGCCTGTCACGTTCCCAGGTGCACTAAGTAGAACTGAAAACAAGTTCGTCCCTTCGGTGTTTGTGTGTGACCCTATGACACAGCCTCTCTGCTTTACCAGACTGACGCGTAGATTTGTTTACAACGTTCACGAGGGGAGGTCACATCCCAGGACATCAAGTTTGTCTCTTATTTTTACAGGATCTGTCAGTCTGTCTAGAAGCTCTAAACACCTGGTTAGTCGGGATAGGGTGTCTCTCCTGGGCCGTTTTTATGTGCCTGCTTTGACCCCAACTGTGTGTATGTGCCTGTGTCCCCAGCCCGTGGTGCACTCCTGGAGAGAGCAGGGTGGCGCTGAGTGCGCTTGTGCCCCGAGCATTTGCTTGGTACCTGACACCTTGTAGGCAGTCACGCTGCTTAAAAAATACTTTTTAAGGTACAGTCATGTTCTTGGTACAAGTACACAGTGAACACATGTCGCATTCTTTGTGACTCATGAATCAGTGAGGGTTGCAGATGTTACAGCCAGCTCGGAGGGACGCTCAAGGTCCTGCACGTGCCTGAGCAGGCTGCAGCATGGGGACACACATGCACTGGCCACAGGGCTGGAGCCAGGAGCCAGGGTGTCGGGGGGCTGGACCCGGGGTGTCTTGGTGGGGCTGGAGTGGGGAGCTGGGGTGTCCGGGGGGCTGGAGTCAGGAGTCGGGGTCTCCGGGGGGCTGGAGCTGGGAGTCGGGGTGTCCGGGGGGCTGGAGCCGGGAATCGGGGTGTCTGGGGGGCTGGAGCAGACGGGCTACGCTGCGTGGCTGTGCACAGGCGTCTTGGGCATGGCTGCTCACAGAGTCAGGAAGTCTCTGAGAAGCCCACAGGAACAGAGCCTGGGAGGCGCTCATGCACACAGCACTCAGTTTTTCCTGAGGTCTGGAGCCACAGCTGGGGTGCAGGCCCAGCCCTCCTCTTGTCAGCTGTGCGACCTCGGAGCAACCTGCCTGTACCCCAGTCTCCTCTGGGAAAGGGGAGCAGCAGGGACACTGCCTCTTAGGGTCGCTGCAGGGATTAGTAAGATGTTAAAATGTTAACAGCAAGGCCCAGCTCATGGTGAACCGTTGATAGAATGCGCCTCTGTGGGCGCCTGGGTGGCTCAGTTGGTTGAGCGACTGCCTTCGGCTCAGGTCATGATCCTGGAGTCCCGGGATCGAGTGCCACATCGGGCTCCCTGCTCGGCGGGGAGTCTGCTTCTCCCTCTGACCCTCTTCCCTCTCGTGCTCTCTGTCTCTCATTCTCTCTCTCTCAAATAAATAAATAAAATCTTTAAAAAAAAAAAAAAGAATGCGCCTCTGTGAGGGCCTTGCCCATGTTGGCGCTGGGCCTTTGAACAGATGCACCGCTGGGCTGTGTCCCCCGTCACGGTCGGGGGGTGATTAGCACTGTGCCCACAAACCCTCACGGCCAGCAGGACACCCACAGGGACTGGAGTCGTGAAATGTGATGAGGCCCCAGCAAGCAGGGGTGTGGGCAGCTGCAGGGACCGGACACGTGGGGGGGAGCTCCGCCTGGCGGGGGTACGCATGGCCGCCGCCTCGGCTCCTGGCCTGTGGGAGGGGTGTAGGCTCCGCCTAGAGCACGCTGTCCTGAGGCCTTGCCGTGGGCCTGTCTCCAGGGGCCGCGGAGCCCGACCTGCCACACCTGCAGACAGACAGGACGACCAACCACCAGAGCCGAGCCTGGTGCTGGGGGGCAGCTGCGGTAGAAGTCTGCCAAATGAGCCGGCAGCTTGCACTGAGCGCGATCGTTGCCAGGGCCTCAGGATGGGGAGAAAGAAAGGTTTCTTTTCTCTCCCCTTCAAATCCAGCGCCCACCCTGGTCGGCTGCGTTCTGTGCTCACAGCTACATAGGATCCCCGGGTTTTAGTCAGCATTGTGTCGCCACACACAGCATAAAACAGGTGTTTCTAACACAAGATAAACATCTGCGTTGTGGAAGAACATGCTCCACAGCACACAGACGGCCCATCCTTCCCAGACAATGGCCAGGATGAAAATTAACTACAAAATTGCTTCTGTTTGAGCTATTCTGGGAAAAATGGGCTAAAGATTGTAGCTGAGGTGACTATTTTAGCAAGTCCCCCCATAAAATTGCAGTTTGGGGACATTTCTCGCACTTAGCATGATCTCAGATCTCAGATGAGCAAGCTGCCATTAAAATATTTACAGTTGGCTCACTGCTTTGAGATATACGACCTTTTAACTGTGTGCCTCGAGTTATCATATTACACCCATTTAGTGTGGAACATGTGCTCACTGTCTAAAAAAGAGCGGACCTGTTACACCTTGTTTGTTAATGAAAGAGCTCCATGCGCTGTGTGCTGACTTCGGCACTTGAGTGAATTGTTCTTGGTTCAAAGTGGCATCTGGATATTAAATGCCACTTAGCCGGTGCTGTTCTGTGTGTTCTTCCTTATAAAGTACACCTGAACACTTGCCTACAGTTCCAGAGAGACCTCAGCTGGGCTCAGGCACGGCCCCGGCCCAGGGAGGGACCCGGTGCTCCAGTGCGGGCGTGGGAATGTGGTGAAGGAGCAGCGTGTGGCGAGGCGGACAGGGATGAGTCCCAGAGGAGGTGGTGTGTGTTCACAAGGAGGAGACAGGGGCTTGGAGATGTGAGGGTCATCCTGGAGCTATCCACAACCGCGTGGGCTCCAGGGAAACTGAGGCCCCGCTGCCCGGTCCCTAGGAGGACTGGCAGTGTAGGGTCCAGACACGGGCACATGGAGGCCTGGAAGGAAGCCTCAGAGCGGAGCTGAGGACGGTATGTGTCGCCTGATGCCAAGGAGTGGGTGGCAGGATGCCCCAAGCAACACCGCGGTGGAGATCTCGGGGCGGAAGTGAGGGTCTGCACACGGAGAGCTGGGGGACACTGGGGTCGGCGTGAGCACCTGCCCAGCGGGTGGTTGTGGATACGGTGGCCGCTGGAGGAGGTCGGGCCTCGAGTGGGGGTGATAGTAGACGTGCGGAGAGGCAGGTGAGCGGAGACATGGCCGGGTCAAGCCTCCGGGGGGCTCAAAGGAAAACCGAGTCTCTCGGGGCCTCTGCTAGTGGAGGGAGGCCATGAGCGCAGCAGGAATCATCTGAGACCTCGGGCGTCCGTGTGAGCACATGAGTCACTGCACCTTCAAAACACAATAAATTTGTTAAAGTCATAATTTAATCGAAGCCCAGAATAGAAGGAGC